TATAGGCAGCCCACTACCGTGAATATTTAGTGCAAGATGTTTCGGCTTATTTTCTAATCTATTTCTGGAAACTTTCCTCATTCTGTTGCAGGGAAAATAGCCAGTTCATTATAAAGTATAATTTGCTCACCAGCAACATCGATAACCATATCACTTTAAGCGGATACTCGCCAAGAAGTATTACCTACATGTGGGGTGGATACAGTGGGGTTGACTTGGCAGTAGACGAACATGGTTTATGGGTATTGTGGGGCAACACAGGGAATGGCAGTCGACTGTCCGCCTCCAAGATTGAAGGGGATGTCATAGTAAGCGACTACAACTTGGCTACAGGTTAGTCATTTTAGAGATCAAAGGCCACATAATTCATAATTCGTAATAATTCCTTCATGGGATGCGACTTTTATCTTTTTAAAATAAACATGATTGCAGTTATAATTTTATAGCGAAAGTCAATGTGGGTCTATTATTATTAGGTCGCGTTTATTATTATTATTTTTTTACACGCCGCTTCTTCACCATCGCCCTTAAATTCTCATTGTAATTGAAACTATTATCAAAATTAAGGCACTTAAAAGGGTGCTCAGGATTTTTTCACTTTCTATTCTATTTTGCTGAGAAAGTTATTTCGAAGTACAGAGGAGAGGCAACTGATTTTACAAGTTATTTCTTTGTGTTGGTTGTTATCGCAGAAAGTATGAACTCGATGGGTAACGCCTTCATAGCTTGTGGAGTGATCTACTGCATCGACAGTTATCATAGCAATCCCACAACCATCAACTTTGCCTATGACACAAAGACTGGTAATCAATGGAACCCCAGTATACAGTTCACGAACCAGTATGGATACAATTCTATGGTAGACTACAATCCCAAAGAAAAGCTTTTGTACGCATGGGACCGTCACAACCAGCTCACTTACTCCCTCACTTGGAATTGAATCATTTTCTATTGGTAATATTAAACATATTGATCGCTTTAAATCTTATAAAAGTTAATTTTGTTTAAGGTACGTTCCACACTACTGCCTTTTTGTTTGAAAACATATACCTCTGGTGCGTTTTCGCCGATCATTCACACTAAAACGCCCGAAAACGTTGATGAAAACAGAGACTTTCTAGTACGATTTCAAAGAAGGATTCTTTTGAAAACGCATCGTTTTAAGAGCTAATGTCAGCATGCATCAAACAAACAGCGGCAAGTCACCCAAA